GAACTAATAGTGTCTGATCTCAGAGGTAAAGTTGGCACAACCTAACCTGCAGGGCCCTTTCCAGATGCAGTATTTTCTGACATAATTTTTTTTTAATGGTTGTGTGCATGTCCTTTTTTTTTCAAGTTGATTTTAGAGAGAGAAAGAGAACTACTGATTTGTTGTTCCACTTATTTATGCATTTATTGGTTGCTTCTTGTGCCCTGACAGGGGACCAAACATGCGCCCTTGGCTGATGACACTACAACCAACTGTGCTGCCTGGTCAGGGCCGTAACACTTTTTAATTTTTAAAAATTTTAAGTAATCTTAACAGTTATTCAGCATCACTCAGCTAACAATTACCTTCATCTTTTCATATTAATTAAAATAGCTTTTCAGGTGATAGCAGGGTGCATATTTTAGACTTAATCAACAATATGCAATCTAAATATTTACCATCTTTGCCAGATATTTTAAATTCGGGGCTACTTAGGGCAGGTAAGTATCTGATAACATACAGACTCAACCAATTTGTAATTCGTGCCACTCTATTAGATCCTCCATGGACAAGCACAGAGGGTTTTATTTAGTAGTTTAGTATGTAATTTCAGAATGTATATTTTTAATAAACTACTTCTGTTGATTTTGATCAGATAGTTCTGGATAGCATTCTCAAAAATAAGTATGGCACTGGCCAGATGGCTCAGCTGGTTGGAGCATTGGCCTGTACACTAAAAGTTTGCGGTTTCAATCCCCGGTTGGGACACGTACAGGAGGCAGCCATTTGTTATTTTTCTCTCACACAGATGTTTCTCTCTCCCTGCCCAAGCCCCCGTCTCTTTCCTCCCCTCTTTCTAAAATCAATAAACATATTCTCAGGTGAGGATTAAATTTTAAAAATAATAAAAATAAGTATGTATTGGGAGCACTTGGGGCATACTTTAAAAATGTGCATTCCTGGGGCTCAGCCCCAGAGGTTGAGATCCTATTAGGAAACCAAAACTGAGATGAATAAAACAGTCAAAACAATTAAATGCTAAACATATTATGGGTAGTTAACAAATATATCTTGTTTGATTCAACTGCCCAGTATGGTAGAAATTTGGTGTGAGTTAGAGAAGTAGAGAAGTGAGTGAGGAGAAGGTGAGACCTTAGGCTTGGTAGGGGAGAGGATTTAGACACAGGCCGAGAGGAGCAGGGAAAGGCATTTAGTCATTGAGGTGTGGGAAGAGCAGAGGCTGAGCAAATGTGCAAAGGCACTCAAAAGTTTGGTGGGGGTGGCTGCGAGAGAGGAGCGTGACTGTACAAAATGCATAGATTCATGTTGTTTGTTCTTAGCCTTTGAGTTCAGAGAGGAGTTGGAGTGGTGTGTGATAAATGTCACATATTGGATGTGTGGGCCCTTCTGCTGAGACATCTCCTGATCAGTAACCATGAGTGGCTGATAAAATTGACTGAAGAGTGCCTTCTTTTCTTTGCTTGGTTCTCTTGGGTTGGCCAAAAAGTCCATATGGTTTTTTCCATAAAATAAAAGACACATTTTTTATTTTCACCAATAACTTTATTGATTTGGATATTTTGAGTATGTCGGCTGTCTTCTGCATGGTAGAACATTGGTTGTTCTCAATTAATGTCTCAGTTTGATCGCTATCAGCTTCAATTGGTCTACCTGACTGTGGAGCGTCATCCAGTGAGAAATCTCCAGCATGAAACTTCACAAACCACTTTTGACATGTTCAATGTCATAGCACCTTCTCCATACACTACACACATCTTTTTTTGCATTTCAGTTGTGTTTTTACCTTTCTTTAAATAATAAAACATAATATACCAAAAATGCTGCTTATTTTCTTCCATCTTCAATATTAAAATGGTTACACAAAAAATTCACCGATTTTGTTAAGTTTTTTTAAAAAATATGCACACGGATATGACAGGCATCACAATACAATCTAACAAAATTGTTTCAAATGAAGTTACAGACGACTAAGCGCCCCTGGATCCATCTTATGGAAAAAAACCAATGAACTTTTTGACCAACCCAATATTTGGATTTCTCCTAAGGGTAGAACGCACTTGAGAGAAGTCAATTCCACTTGAGGATATTGAGTTCCAAAAGCACTCTTAAGGTTTATTTTATTATTTAAAAATTTTTTAAAGCAGTTTTTTTAGAGAGAGGGGAAGGAAAGAGAGAGAAACATCAAAGTGAAAGAGAAACCGATCAGTTGCCTCATACACACCCCAACTGTGGTAGGCGGGGTAGGGGGGGGTGACCACATCTGCAACCTAGGCATGTGTCCAGACTGGAAATTGAACTGGCGGCCTTTCACTTTGCATGATTCCCAACCAACTGAGCTACATTGGTCAGGGCACTCTTAAGGTTTATTTTTTATATTTAACAAAGATAGGTTTCAGAGGGAACTAAAATTAATAATGTATTAAATGTTTTATTCATTCAGTCAGGTCATTGGGCTGGGCTTTGATTCCTGCCCTGGAGGACCCCCATTTTGTACCTGGAGAAATACAATTACAATGGCAGTGATGGAGTCTTACCCAGAATGCCAGGCTGAGCATAAAGGAGGATTAGCTAATTGAATAGCGTTATCAGAGTCTGGAAAGGCTTCACACAGGAGGTGCGTCTAAGCAGATTCTTTTTTTTTTCTTTTTTAATCCTCACCCAAGGACTTTTTTTTCCTCATTATTTTTTAGAGAGAGAGGAAAGGAGTGAGAAATATCAATGCCAGAGAAAAACATCAATTGGTTGCCTCCCTTATGTATACCCACCTGGACTAGGATCTTATGTGCATGCAGGCCGGGGCCTGGGAATCCTAAGTGCCTGGACCAGGGATCTCACGTGCACGGGCCAGTGAGTGAACCCTCAACCTAGGTAGGTGCCCTGACTGGGAATCAAACCCACAACTTTTTGGTTATGGGATGACGCTCCAACAAACTGAGCCATACCAGTCAGGGCCTAAGCAGATTCTTGAAGATTGAGTTGCAGTTGGCCAGCTGAGGAGAGGAAGCGTACCAGGAAATGGTAAAGTGTATGTGCAGTCACATTTGCAGCAGAAAACATGGCGTGATTGGAATTGCAAGGAGTTTGGTCCAGAAGGAGCTTAGGATGCCTGCAGTGAAGCTGAGGCCAGAGAGGTATGTGCAGGCGCTAGATCATAATGTCTCGTAGACCATGCTGAAGGGTTGGATTTAGTCATGAAGGCAATGCGGAGCAATCAGAGAGTTTTAAGCAATATTGTTTTGTGTTCACTGTGGCTACAGTATGAACAATGGATTGAAGAGAGCAAGGACAGAGTTGGAGAGGCAAGAAATGATGAAAGGCTGGTCTTGAGCAGGAGGTAGGAATAGAGAGAAAAGGACAGGGGGGACATTTAAAAGGCAGGTACTAAAGCACTTGATGGCCACTTGAGGTTTGGCAGAAGAAGAAGTTCTGACAGTGAGTGGATGGTGCTGCCATACCTTGAGGTGTGGGGTATAGGAAGAAAACAGTTTGGTGGGGAAGATGATGAGTTCATTTAGGGAATATATTGACTTTGAGGTGTTTGTGGGACATCCAAGTGAAATGTGTGGAGAATTCTTGGAGAGTGAAGTCTGGAGCACAGTGAGGTATGGGCTAGACATTGGTGTAAATGGGAAAAGAAAACTTGAACGTTGTGGTACTAGGTTGATTTAACCTCCAAAGTATTTCTCAAAACATCTGCTATTTTCTATACCTCTCCCATCACCTTCAAGCTCCTATTGTCTTCTAACTGGTCTGCCTACTTCCCTAGCAGTCCATTCTTACACAGCTGACAGTGATCTTTTAAAAATAAGATGGAAATTTTGTCATTTCCTTGCTTAAAACCCTTCACCACTGACTTCCCATTGTCCTTAGAGTAGATTCAGACTTAACTGTGGCTTCAAGGACCTCCGTGACCTTGCCCTGGCCTGCCTACCTGCCTCTCGTGTATATCTTAAGTCACAGTTCTCCCTCACTTGCCCACACTAGCTGCACTGGTTTCTTCAAGGCCACACGTAGACTTTTTCTGTCTTATTATGTGCCTAGTTCTTTCTCTTTTCCCAACCTTTGTTCGTGCTGCTCTCTCTGCCTGGATTACCCTCTCCCTGCCCTTGGCCTGGCTAATTCATCTTTCAGGTTTTACCTCTGATATTTTTCATAGGAGCCTTCCCTTTCCTGAGCTGTATTAGAGCCATCCTGTATTTTTCTTTTCTAGCACTTAACACAATTTGTTATAAGTTCTTTCTGTGTTTGTTTAGTATCTTTCTCAATACAAGCTGTGAGGGCAAAGTCCATCCTGTGTTTGTTTATCATTATACCCATAGGGTCAGTCTGTTCTGAGCATTGGTCAGGTTGTTAAATGAATGAGGGTCATAATCTGTCTTGAAAAACTTGTAATTTTTTCACGTCACAGAATAAATAGGACTGTGATTCAAGCTTTACAATTTATGTAGCTGATTCCATCTACTTTTGACACACTATTAAATTTTTTAACAGTATTTTTCTTATCCAAGGATATGATAATTTTTTGTCATTGCTTTTAGAGAGAGAGGAAAGGGGGAAGGGAGAAACATCAATGTGTGAGAGAAACATTGATTGGCTGCCTTGTTGTGTGTGCCCCAACCTGCAACCTGGGTATGTGCTCTGACCTGAATCAAACCTGCCACCTTTCGGTCTATGAGATGACGCTCCAGCCAACTGAACCACACCAGCCAGGGCTAGTCAGTTACATTTTTAACTGTTAAATACTCTTTGCTCCTGGGAGGTTGGGACATTAAAATTTCAAATCAAGTGTTGGGGGTATTTTTCCTTCCTGTTGCCCGCATTCATTGTGGTGACTCCAGTTAACATGGCCTGACCCATTGTCAGTGTGAGAGTGGGTATAGCTGCTGCTGAGTTTTGAAATTGGAAAAACTGGTAATTTTTCCCTTGAGTGGGCAGAATAGCTGCCTTTTCCTTCAGCTTTGGTTTGGGAAATGTCCCAATACATGCTGTTTGCATTACAGCTGTGGGAAAGTCTACCTTTGTGAAGTTACTCACAAAAACTCACCCAGAGTGGCACACAGCTACAGAACCTGTGGCAACATGGCAGAATATCCAGGCTGCTGGCACGCAAAAAGTAAGTTTTCAGTTGTGGTGGGTAGTTGGCAGGCATGGGTGAGTTAACTAATTGTAATAATCGGATTTACTTTGAGGGGGTGAAGTAGCCCAGTTCAAGTCTCCTTTTTAAAATACCTTCATTCCAGAAAGCAGACTGTGTATACAAGAAAGAATGTGACTTGTTTGAGTATTTTTGTGTTTGAATATGTTTAGTTTTTGGTTTATTATTTAGTCTTCAAAGTCACAAAAATAAAATATCTACATAAGTAACTGCTTCCATTCTGTGTGGTTACCCAAAGCATGTCCAGCCATTCTGGCTTTGAAGATTAATTTTTCCATTTCTACCCTTAAGTATATTACTGAAGCTCACCATCATGATTAATAGTTAATTAAAATTATTTTAATATTTATGAAGTCTTAAAAATTGGAAAGGACGTTAGAGAGCACCTTGTCATACTTTGAGTCAATGCAGATCTAACTAACATTTATAAAGCACATACTATGTCCCAGGCACTGTACTGTGCCAAGCACTGTACATTTCATTTATGCCTCATGGCTTAGACCTTAGTTGCAGGTCTGCCACTTTGGAAAGGTTGTAGGGTTGATTTCAACACCAGCCATATGAGTCTGAGTAAGGAAACACCAGTCTGGACGTGAACCTTAGAGGCCGCTGTGGGAGTGGCGGCACCGTGCCTCAGTTGCCACAGACTCCTCCTGCAGCCAGTGGGAGTATTCACTGATTGGCTCATTCTGCTTTTTAAAAACTAATTGTTAGAAAGTTCTTGTATGAACCACTTTGCATACCTGTGACTGAATCTGAATTACTGGTTCAAGTTCTGTTTCTTAAGCCTTTTCTAACTTTCCCGTGTGGCAAGCCTTCATATAATTGAAGGCAGTGATTTGCCTGCTCTTTCTGCCCCTCAAGTCTTCCCTCTTTCAAGCTGAACACCATTGTCCTCCAGACTACTCCTTATTCTGAAGTCCTTTTGTCTAGGTGATGAGCTCCAGTTTGTTAGTTTTCCACTTAGAATTACTAAGAGTGGTACTCAGTCCTGAACAGGACATTCTGAATGTAGTCTAAATGGTCCATGATATCACAGAACTTGTTCTGGGTGCCATTTTTCCATTATCCCAACTCAAGATTACCTTTTCTTGGCAGGCACATCATGCTTATTGAGAATATTTGCTTTTTAAATTGTCTTTCTATATTGTGTGTGTGTATTTGTGAAATTAACTTTTCCTTTCAGAAAATAAATTATGTATCTTTTTCTGAGTATGCCACAGGTCACCTATTATGGGGATTTAAAAATATGTCCACACATTGTTTGATACTCTTTCCTTTAAGAGATGAACCTTAATTCTTTCCTTTAGTGTGGGCTGGATTTAGTAACTTGCTTCTAATGACTAGAATGTGGCATGAATAACAGAGTGTGACTTTCTACGTAGACCATAAGAGACATTGTATCTTTAGTCTTGTTCTCTCTTGATCACTTTTGGCTCTGGGGATACCAGCTACTATGGCATGAAGTGTCCCCTCCAGTGAAGAGGCCCACACAGCAAGAAACTGGGTTCTGACAACAGCTATGTGAGTGAGTCTTCTTGGAAATGGACCCTTCACCCCAGTCAAGTCTTCAGATGACTGTGGCCAGCCAGCATCCTGACTGAAACCTCATAAGAAACCCAGAGGCAGAGCTATCCAAATAAGCTGGGTCCCAAATTCCTTGCCTTCAGGAACTGAGATAATGAATATTTTTGTTTAAGCCACTAGATTTTGGCACAACGTGCTGTGCAGCAACAGGTAACTAGTACTCCCATAATCCCATTATGCAGTGATAAAATTAACATTTTATCCTTTTATATTTTTTTCTACAGAGGGGAAAATATATATATATGTATATATATTTATAATACACTTACATAAATGTATAAAACTTTACTTTTTTTAAACAAAACTTGCAATTGTCACTGCACATCACTTTATATACAAGGTCTTTCATTTCAGGTCTTTCATAATGTTACAGTGATGAATATCCTTGTAGCTACATTTTTATTCTTTTTAATAGCTAAATTTTGTGCCCCTTTTTATTAGGAATTTTGATGTACAGAAATTACGCATCTTGTTGACACATTTGTTATAATTTCCAATTTGTTTTTCAGAAAAATTTTTTCTTTTCATACTTTCAGCAACCCTAGGTACTCTTCTCCATCTTTGCTAATGGGGTGGCAAGAAAATAGTGTGTTGTTTTACTTTACATTTCTTTGATTACCCATGAACTGAATATCTTTTTATCTCTATCAGCCATTTATTAGTATTCTATAGATTAAGTATCATCTTCTTTGTCCTACACTGCTGATACTTTCCCTAGTTTGTCATTTTTTAAATCTTTATAAATGATTTTTTTCTCAGTATAATACCTACAAGTTTTTATGTACTCATATCTGTCTTTCTCTTCAGAGTTGCTGCCTTTGATGTTAAAGTTTGAAAAGACCTCTCACATACCAAGATTATAAAAACATGCACATTCATTTCTTTCTCTTGCTTTTATGGTTTTATGGTTTTACTCTTTATGTTTATTTTAAAAGTTACATGAGTTTTGGGAGTGCCCTTCTACTTGCTTCATGGAGTGCTGCCTGATTCATGGTTGCTAATAAAGCCAGTTAGGTCTTCAAAAAACAAACGTTTAGGAGTCTAATTTACCCCAAATAGTTATTTACTTGTCCTAGTACTGTTCTCGTTTAGTTTATGCCTTAGTGATTATACATTTTGTTGTTACTGTGACTGGGATCTGTTTTCCCATCATCTTTTTCAATCTTGTTATTGCTGTTTTTTTTTAATTAGTTAAATTTATTGGGGTGACATTGGTTAATTAGACTATATAGGTTTTAGATGTACATTTCCATGATACATAATCCGTACATTACGTTGTGTGTCCACCACCCAGAGTCAGCCATCTTCTGTCACCATGTACTTGGCCCCCTTTACGTTTACTGCTCCCGCCTCACTTCCCTCTGTTAACCACCATGCTGTTGTGTGTCTTACGAATTCCAGTTTTATGTCCTACATGTGAGTGAAATCATACGGTTCTTAGCTTTCCCCTCCTGACTTATGTCACTTACAGTATTCTCAAGGTCCATCCATGTTGCAAATGGCAGTATTTCATCTTTTCTTACGGCTGAGTAGTATTCCATAGTATATATGCACCACGTCTTCTTTACCCAGTCATCTGTTGAAGGACACTTCGGTGGTTTCTATGTGTTGGCTACTGTAATGCTGCAGTGAACATAGGGGTGCATATATCTTTGCCAATAAATGTTTTCAACATTTTCGGGTAGATACCCAGGACAGTGATTGCTGGATCACATGGTAACTCTATTCTTAATCTTTTGAGGACCCTCCATACTGTTTTCCATAGTGGCTGTACCAGTGTACATTCCTACAAGCAGTGTACAAAGTTTCCTTTTTCTCCACAACCTCTTCGACGCTTGTTACTACATTTCTCGTTGACAACAGCCATTCTAACAGGTGTGAGGTGGTACCTCATTGTAGTTTTGATTTGCATTTCCTTAAAAGCCAGTGAAGTTAGGCATCTTTTCATATATCTGTTCCTATATCTGTGTATCAAGATGCCTTGATCATAAGACATCTGGCCATTTGTATGTCTTCTTGGGAAAAGTGCCTGTTCAGATCCTCTGCCCATTTTTTAATTGGATTGTTTGTTTGCTAGGTTTGGAGTGGTGTGAGTTCTTTATGTATTTTGAATATTAACCTCTTTGTCAGAGCAGTTGTTTGTTCCCATTATGTTGGTTACCTTTTGGTTTTGTTACAGGTTTCTTTTGCTGTGCAGAGCTTTTTAGTTTGTTATAGTCCCATCCATTTATTTTTGTCTTTACTTCCCTTGCTTTTGTGGTCAAATTCATAAAATTCTCTCTTAAGACCAAGGTCCATAAATTTAGTGCCTATGTTTTCTTCTAAGTAATTTATTATTTCAAATTTTATATTTAGGTATTGGATCCATTTTGAATAAATTTTTGTACATGAGGACAGGCTGTAGTCTAGTTTCATTCTTTTGTATGGGGCTTTCCAATTTACCCAACACCATTTATTGAAGAGGCTTTATTTTCTTCATTGTATGTTTTTGGCTCCTTTGTCAAAAATTATCTGCCCATATACATACGGGTTTTTTCCTCCTGCATTCCTATTTGCTAACAATGAAATTTCAGAAAAAGAATGAAAAACAATTCCTTTTGCAGTTGCAACAAAAAGAATAAAATACCTAGGAATAAACTTAAGAACAGATGTGAAGGACCCATATAATGAAAACTATAAATCATTTTTATTGAAAGAGCTTGAAAAAGTCACAGTGAAATGGAAAGATATTCTGTGTTCATGGATTGGAAGAATGAGCATAGCTAAAATGTCCATATTACCCAAAGCAATATACAGATTTAATGCAATATCCATCAAAATCTCAATGACTTTTTTTTTATTTTAAAGATTTTTATTTTATTTATATTATTTTTTTATATTTATTTTATTTATATTATATATTTATTTAGAGAGAGGGAAAGGGAGGGAGAAAGAGAGGGAGAGAAACATCAATCAGTTGCCTCTTACACACCCCTAGCTGGGAACCTGACCCACAACACAGCCCTGACTAGGAATCAAACCGGCACCCCTTCATTTCACAGGCTGGTACTCAGTCTACTGAGTACCCAGTGACATTTTAAAAAAATAAAGCAAAAAAGCATCAGATGCGTATGGAATCACAAAAGATCCCAGCTTGCCAAATCAATCCTCAGAAAAAAGAACAAAGCTGGAGGCATCACACTACCTGACTTCAAATTATACTACAGAGAAACAATAATCAAAAGAGCATGGTATTGGCGGAAAAATACATACAGACCAATAAAACAGGATTACTGCTATTTTAAAGGAATGTGGTCAGTTGTATTTGTGTCACAACTCTCATGTTAATTGGTTGGCCTTTTGTTTGTTTTATTTTGCTCTATTTGCTTACC